CATTTTATAGGTGTCTCGGTAAGGGATAAAAATGACTTAATAATATTTTCCATTGTTCAAATCGAAATGAATTTCATATTTGAGGCAACCATCTGGACACAAATATGAAAAATCACATTAATATCAATAAACTCTATTAAAACTTTCGATTGTAACATCGGAACAGAAATGTTATTTAGAATCATCCGGGACCTCACTTGCAGCAGCTTTATTGAAAACTGTTATCTAACGTTTTTTATAAAATGGTGAATATTGTAAATATACAATTATCATGAGCGATCAGTATATAACATCTATTGGATGCAATTGTTTTATAAACTGTCTTTTTCCATGTTTATTAGCGCCATATTAAAGGTTGTAAGTTATTTTTGTAATAGGAGGGTTTCAGCGCGTTTGTGCTACTTGGAACATTTTTTTATCAAACTTGGTAAACATTTTTTAAGCATCAAAGTGGAATTTTCTGGTACAGGGGCTTAGACCAAATATTTTTGGGAAAAAATGTACGCAAACAGTCCCTCCAAAAATTAAAATTAAAATAATAACAGTTTTATTGCACGACGAATTAGCTAAAATTTTGTTATTGTTGTTTTGTATCGAAAATTAGTTTTTGACTATTTAAGGAATATAAAAAAAATCATCTCTCTTTTTCGTCTCCCATTTGTGGAGCGATTTTACATGATATTTTTGCCTATAAATATTTTTAAAAAAATTGCTGATTGAAGTAATGGGCACTTATTTAAAAAACATCCTATATATAAATATCTAGACACGTAAAAATTAATAGAACTGCTTGCTCACAACTCACAAAATCCAAAAACGGTTTCTTAAAGATAAAACGCGCAATCAGGACGCGAAAATTTCCCGTGAGTTGGGAGGATTAAATGCTACAAACATTTTTTTCTACAGCATTTTATAGAGCAACAATAGAACGGGTTAGAGAAAAATAACTTCAAATAATAAAATGTATTAAATATGTATTATTGTTATTAAAAATCAAAAAGCTAAGCAAAGCGTCCTTCAAAGATTATCAGAATTTACCATTAAAATTTAGGTTTAAATTAAATTTCATTAGTTTGCACTACTAAAGATTTAGATATAGAGATGCAACTATGAAAAAAATTTTAAAACATGGCAGCTGACAGTTCGTCAAAAAGTTTGGATTCGTCAATTCCGCGGCAGTATTTTTTCAAAATATGTCCAGTCATTAAATCTAAGATTTCATTTTCGTACTGAATCAGCCTGGTGCGTATGGCCAGAAAAATATCGAAAATGCCGTGCATAATATAAAATGTGCTTTTCTAATCCCAAACGGTATCGATCAGAATTATTTTTAAAAGGAGTTCTATTTACCCCTATCGGTTTCGTATACCTGCAAGAATTCCCTCGGGTGCATGGGGATCTGTAACGACCGATCCTCCGGGAAACCTAGATTTTAAGACGGCTCCGTCCGGCCCGAGGAGGATCGTCCTGCTCCCTGGTTCTTGCAGAATCTTCACGTGGGTGACAGCGTGACATTCGACAATGAACAAAATTGAAATGACGAATCCGACCTACGCAAACACCGAACATATCAAGCCATCTTCGGCTGTCAATACTTTACTCCCGAAAATTAAACGATTAAAGTGATGGAAGTTACTAAAAAGTAAAAATGGCAAAATTTGAATCACATACAAGCACAAAGAATGAAAAATTTTAGACATTTCTTTAGTGAAGAATTCTTGATAAAAGTAAATGTAGTCAATGAAAGATAAAACTTAAAATGACTAAATTAAAGGAGTATGAGTGTTTCCTCCATCACTCTTGTGTGACGTAATTCTATCCTTAAGTACTCGCGATGTCTGTCCTATGTATACCTGATCACACTGATTACAGGGGATGCTATAAATTACTTCTGAATTCTTTTGTACCTCATCCTTATCTTTTAGTTTGCTAAAGACACTCCCCAATGTTTTTGTTTGTTTATATGCTATCTTAATATTTGTTTGTGCTCTCAGAATTTTTGTGAGTGTGGTCGTTAATTCTTTAATGTATGGCAATGAAAAATAAAAACATCTCAGATCGTCCATTTCTGGGCTATCTGAGTGGACGACCGTGTTCCGCGGGTTTGGAGCTCTTAGTGGGGTCGTGCTATATAACAATTTTTTAGTTAACCTACTTGGGTATGAGTTGTTAATCAGCATGTCGTAAAGCTTATTAAGATTTTTTTGTCTTAGTGATGGGTGAGAAATCCTCTCTATTCGTGTCTTTAATGCTATGACCAAATTTATTTTTGTTTTCGTTGTATGGTAAGAGTGGAAATTCATATATCTCCCCGAACTGGTCGGTTTTATGTACCAATCTAATATAATTTTGTTATCGTTGTTCCGGATCACTTTAGTGTCCAGAAATGGTACGCTTTTATCAATTTCCTCCTCTACTGTAAATTGTATGTGTGCATCATAGCTGTTAAACACTGTGAGAGTTTCCCTCACGCAACTTTCAGGTATGGAAGTAATTATATCATCCACATATTTTTTCAGAAATGGTAACTGAAACGACAGCTTATCTACGCACACCTCAAGTAGGTCATCCATAACGTATTGAGCTAATATTGGAGAAATGATGGCACCCATCGGTGTACCTAATTTTTGTTTGTAAAATTCATTGTTAAATCTAAAATACGTTGTATCAAATACAAACTGAAGTATCTTTAGGAAACTAATTTGTGACAAATCAGTGTGGTTTCTAATTCTGTTCCAATGTTTTTTTATACTTTTTTCTACCAAATTATATGGAATATTACTAAATAAAGAGACGACATCCAAGCTCACAAGAACATACTTATTAGGTAATTGTTTGTCATTGATAAATGAAGAAAACTCAAATGAATCACCTGTGAAATAATCATTATTCTTATTATATGCTTTGGTTAAAACCTGAGTCAACAATGAAGCCAGTTTACTGTTCGGAGCATTAATTGATGAAATTATCGGTCTTAAGGACAATTGGGGTTTATGTATTTTGGGTAAGCCATAAAATTTAGGACAAGTTTGATTATATATATTTAAAGTTTTGGCTACCTCATTTGTTAATTGTTTTTGATCTTTTAATGATTTGACAAGTTTGTTAGCTTTTTGTTGGTAAGTAGATGTAGGATCACATCTGAGACGCTCGTAATAGGTCCGATCCATCAGAATTTCGTTTGATTTTTGAATGTATGTATCTTTAGACATAATAACTGTCACATTCCCTTTATCGGCCCTAGAAACGACCAACTCAGCGTGATCCTTAAAAAATTTTTTTGTCTTTTTTAACAAAATGTCTATATAGCTACGCTTTGCCGGTTGTTTTAAAAAATTAGTCAATACATTAGTAAACTTAGCTCTTACAGTATTTTTTGCGTTCTCTGGTACAACTTTAATTATAGTTTCTACATCAGCAATTAAACGTTTGACTGAGATTTCATTGCATCTTGGTGGCACGGAAAATTTCGAACCTAAAGAGAGAAACCTCAAGACATCATCCGGGACCTCAACCTCTGAAATATTCTTAACCCAATTATCTTGTGTTTTGATTGTTAAGTGATGCTGTTGCGACTTCAAGTTTTGAAATTTGTTTATGTTCTTTTTTTTGATGGTTTTGAATTTTTTATCACATGACCCTTGTTGTCTTTTACCAAATTCGTCAACAACATTCCCCGGAATCAATGTCAAAACTTTCTCTCTTACTTGTTTCAGTGATTTTTCTATACGATTGATAGTTGAAATAGTGAGTGATATTTCTAAATTAATTAATTTGTTATTCAACCTGGTATTGAAATCCCGAATGCGGTCCCCCATATGTCCATCGGTCAAATCCAAAAGCATGCCCAAATTTCTGGTCCCGTCTGTAATGTGTCTCGGTATGATCCCTGTCTGTCTGCATTTGAGTAAGAATATCTTCCTGTTTCCAAACGATGATAGTTTGCTGCCGAGCCTGGCCCATTGTTTGAGTAGTGAAACTGCTTCGTTTCCATATCGAGCTTTTATTGATTGGAAAAACCCCATTCCTGTAAAATACACAAAACGGTAGTCGTGACCGGCTAGTTGAACAACAAATTTTAGTTAATTGGGGTATCGGTCCTGATGAGGGCTCAAATAAAAGGCTTTTGTGCTACACCAAGCTTTCGAAAATGTTTATTTTCTTCTTCAGGGGCTACAATATGAAAGCGGCTCTTAGTTATTTAATACTAAAGTCTTCTAGTTAAAGTACTTACTGCTACAGTGCCATTATAGGCCAACACCAAACTCATCCGGATAACAGAAAGAATCAAATACGACCGTTAATTATTATAACCGAGGGCAGCCATCTAGACGAAATTGTTGTTACATTTTATTTAAACGAATTTTACTTCAAACGCAAAACGCAAATGATGGAAAGGTTTTATTAATATGACTACCGCCAGCCGTCCAGTTTTTTTCCCTTCTTTTTTTCCTTTTGTTACCTCCTTTTTGTTTACAAGGCACCTAATGTATAGAGGCTTGGGACTATTTTTCTAAATTATAATTACATTGTGACGACACTATTATCAGCAAACGCAATTCGATTGACGGTTGGTTGTAAAGTTAAGACATTAGAGTAGATCACACTGAGGCCATCAATGTCAGATCTTTTATTGACCGATTTCGGTTCCAAGAAGATCTCCACCATTTCCAAAATTGCTCTTTTGTTGTAGTTGCTTTCTTTATGGAGAATTTTTGTTTCAACAAAGTTAACATCGTGATCCATTTGGTTAGAGTGTGTTGCTAATGAACAGGTGTTCTTATTAAGTCTGCAATCACTCTTGTGTGACGTAATTCTATCCTTAAGTACTCGCGATGTCTGTCCTATGTATACCTGATCACACTGATTACAGGGGATGCTATAAATTACTTCTGAATTCTTTTGTACCTCATCCTTATCTTTTAGTTTGCTAAAGACACTCCCCAATGTTTTTGTTTGTTTATATGCTATCTTAATATTTGTTTGTGCTCTCAGAATTTTTGTGAGTGTGGTCGTTAATTCTTTAATGTATGGCAATGAAAAATAAAAACATCTCAGATCGTCCATTTCTGGGCTATCTGAGTGGACGACCGTGTTCCGCGGGTTTGGAGCTCTTAGTGGGGTCGTGCTATATAACAATTTTTTAGTTAACCTACTTGGGTATGAGTTGTTAATCAGCATGTCGTAAAGCTTATTAAGATTTTTTTGTCTTAGTGATGGGTGAGAAATCCTCTCTATTCGTGTCTTTAATGCTATGACCAAATTTATATTTATATTTATATACATATATATATATATATATATATATATATATATATATATATATATATATATATATATATATATATATATATATATATATATATATATATATATATATATATATATATATATATATATATATATATATATATATATATATATATATATATATATATATATATATATATATATATATATATATATATATATATATGTATATATATATATATATATATATATATATATATATATATATATATATATATATATATATATATATATATATATATATATATATGTATATATATATATATATATATATATATATATATATATATATATATATATATATATATATATGTATATATATATATATATATATATATATATATATATATATATATATATATATATATATATATATATATATATATATATATATATATATATATATATATATATATATATATATATATATATATATATATATGTATATATATATATATATATATATATATATATATATATATATATATATATATATATATATATATGTATATATACATATATATATATATATATATATATATATATATATATATATATATATATATATATATATATATATATATATATATATATATATATATATATATATATATATATATATATATATATATATATATATATATATATATATATGTATATATATATATATATATATATATATATATATATATATATATATATATATATATATATATATATATATATATATGTATATATATATATATATATATATATATATATATATATATATATATATATATATATATATATATATATATATATATATATATATATATATATATATATATATATATATATATATATATATATATATATATATATATATATATATATATATATATATATATATATATATATATATATATATATATATATATATATATATATATATATATATATATATATATATATATATATATATATATATATATATATATATATATATATGATGACACTATATTCAGGGATATCATCCGTTCGCTCGTTGAACTCCGACTGGAATCCTGCATCCGACTGGAATCCTGCAAATCTTGCATCCGACTGGCATCTTCAATGCTCGCGCTCCGAAAACACTTCGAAGTGTGATTTTGGCGAAACGTCTGCAAGATTCCAGTCGGATGCAAGATTTGCAGGATTCCAGTCGGAGTTCAACGAGCGAACGGATGATATCCCGGAATATAGCGTCATCATATATATATATATATATATATATATATATATATATATATATATATATATATATATATATATATATATATCTAATAAATTTTCTTATTTCTGTTTTTCTTCAGGACAAATAAAAACTACGATTTATGTAGATTTACTTTTGTTTAAAAATAAAAGAATAGCAAAATAAGAAATAAACATAGTTTACAAAATGACGTCGGAATATTTATATAAAAAAATCGAAACTAGATGGAGCCTAAAGTTCACAAAGAACCAATCAAAAACTGAAATTAAAAAAAAAAAACATACTTTAAACCGGAGAAAAAATTATCATCCGGGCCACTAGTGATTTCATCATTTGACACCTCACATTCCGCCAATTAAAGCTCGGCGTTCAACGTGTTCGCTAACATTGTTGACTGTCAGTAAGTGAGGTGGACAGTTTTCAGATTGGCTGTGGCATTTTTGCAAGCAGTATTTTTTCATAAAATAAATACATTTTGCAGGAAAAAAGAAGTTAAGTGGCTGGACACCACAAATTGTGCAGAGTAAAATGTGAAATTCTCGTGCCAAGCTTGATACACCTAAATTTCTACTATCCAGTAAAAACAATAATTATTATAAGTGGATGGCTATAATAAGAGCATTTAGGTACTTACTCTAAGGTGTACAGTTTTTTCAGCTTTGATCGGTTAAAATAAGACAGCAAAGTTATATCGGGTTACCCGATATGGAGATAATTAAAAGAAACTGTATCAAAAGGGCGAAAATATATCGAGTAACTATAAAAACTCGACCGGTCAGTTGACGCTGAAAAAATCGAATAATACACGTTTACGATACAACAACATGAAACGCAGAAATGTCAAGGATACCATTATACCCACTACAAAATAATGATATATGTTTTAAGAATTTTCCTTTGTATTAAGGCGGTAAAAAATAACCCGTCCGATTTTTAAATATATCGCGACTCGTTCGTTGAATTTCGAAATATTTCGAACGAATCCATCATGCGTTCGGTAGTCGTCCCTGTAGATTCCGCAGCTGCCGTTAGTATTAATATATAGTATGTATAAAAAAGACGCTAATTTCATTTTAGTCCATTCGTTTTGGATATTACATTGTTGGAATCCACAAAGTTTCTTTACGTTATTTGCGATCTTGCATAACGAGGAGCTTCAAATTTTTATATTTACAATATGTGTTCATAATAATATTAATCCAAATTGCTGACATATTTAACATTAACTACGCTTGGAAGCAAATTTAAATTACTACTTGCTTTACCTTCTGCCAGAATCACTGGTCGTATTTTCAAAGTGGGATAGTGATCGCAATCCCAATTTAATTCTTTAAAAAGACACAATTAAGGTTAGAACTTTCAAAGCCAAAGCACTCTCGCGTAAAGTAAAGAAAACCAGCTTACCTATGTTGTCATGCTGCGTTGGATTGACGTACTTGATTAGGCATTTTTCCCCACTAAAAATCATCTTTCATTCACGAAAATATTTTAATCGATCGCAAGCTAAATGTCAACCAATAACTTTCAATTCGCCCGGAAGATGCAACCGTCTGTCAGGGAATATCGAATCGGTTGGACGCTTTTCCTCCACCAATGAAATCTTTTTGTGTGTTTTTTTTTTTATTTTCGATATTAAAAGAAACAGGCTCGTATCGGGCTCTTTTTGATCTAGAACGCTAACGCGGATATAACCCATCGCAGTTTCGCACCCATATTTTAAGGTTGATTCAGTTGTTATCACGTTTTGTGGATTTCAATATATTGGGTAAAGCGAATATAAACAACTCCGATAACTAGCGAGGAAGGTCACTAACAACCTGGTAAGCTCGTTATACCAGTGATTATCTTGAAATTTCACTTTTTGTTCCCTATCGCATAGTCTCTTCTGGCGCGGCATGATGTAACTGTGTACTTAGGGTGGTTTTGCTTCCTTTTAGGCCTTTTATTTCCGGGCATTATAAATGGCCCTATGAAAATAACAAGCACTAGTTGGTTCGGATAACCAGCGACAGCCATTTTCTTTTGTCAATACCTCCAAGAAGGTCGCCCAAGGTGAAAGGTAAAACTAACCAAAAACCAAAACGACTGCTTCACCGATTATTTTTTATTAATTGAAAATTATTGAATTCCCTTGTCTCCTGCCAACGGTTTTTTTTATCCTATTGTGAATGGTATAATACTATTCAATAAATTTGCTAAACGCCACCTTGTTACTTTATTTTGGCGCAAGCGGAGCGTGTCTGAGGAAGTTGATCCACGTGTTAAACATACTATATTTTTCTACTAGCATTAATTTAGGAGTACATAATTACATAACAGCACAAGTGACGTTTGACGTGATGATCAAAACTGATCAATATCAAAATAAGATCAAAAGTGTAAAAAGTAATTTTGCTGTTTTCTAAAAAAGCAACTTAATGTTAAATGGTATTGTTACAGGAAGTTAGAATTATCAATAAAAAAATATAGCCATGTTTTTTGCGGGACACCCAGTATATATTTTAGATAATCCAATAGCAAAAGTCCTCAAACAAAGCATTTTCTTTGCGATACATCAAATCAAATTTATTCCAAAAAACATTAATAAACAACGTCGATAATAAATATAAACTCTTGTTGCAAAGAAAACTTAGTAACCATAGTACCAATCTGGTCGGACACTTTTTGCCCCCAACAATCTCGCACCCCCTTCTGGCAATACGCCTGGGACAACGGCTGGACCGGCCAGAGTGTAACTTGTAATTACTTTACCGGCTGGACCGCCCACGATGACGTCACGGGAGCTTCCCAAATACGCCGAACCTGAAAACAATATATACAGGATTTTATTTAATAAAAAAACGTCAGCTAAACATCTCTACGCAAGAGTTCGGTATATGGTGTTAAGTTCTAAGAAAAAAAAGATCATAATTTTAACATATGCCCTTAATAGTTAATAAGTTATAGTTAAATAGTTATATATTTGCTTTATTGTGACTTCCTTTAAGGCCAAATAGTAGCCAAGGTCATCAATATGCTTCAGAAACTGATTTATTCATTTTATTAAAGTGAGACTAATACAAATTTTTTAAAGGCTTCGTATCAAATGTTTTTAAACATGGTTATAAGTCAATATTTATAAACCTATTTATGCTTGAGCTAAATATACTTTATAATTGTTTTAAAATGATTTCATTTAAAATTATTGTATTTAAAAAGGCTATAATTCCTAGACCAACTATAATTTGGTTGTTGTATAATGGCTAAATAATAAATAATAAATGGGTAAATAGCAAAACGACGTTGTTTTCGCGAAAACTTTTATATAGGTAAATTATAAATCAGAATTGTGTTATAAAACTAATTTCAAACACAGTTTCATTTTATAGGTGTCTCGGTAAGGGATAAAAATGACTTAATAATATTTTCCATTGTTCAAATCGAAATGAATTTCATATTTGAGGCAACCATCTGGACACAAATATGAAAAATCACATTAATATCAATAAACTCTATTAAAACTTTCGATTGTAACATCGGAACAGAAATGTTATTTAGAATCATCCGGGACCTCACTTGCAGCAGCTTTATTGAAAACTGTTATCTAACGTTTTTTATAAAATGGTGAATATTGTAAATATACAATTATCATGAGCGATCAGTATATAACATCTATTGGATGCAATTGTTTTATAAACTGTCTTTTTCCATGTTTATTAGCGCCATATTAAAGGTTGTAAGTTATTTTTGTAATAGGAGGGTTTCAGCGCGTTTGTGCTACTTGGAACATTTTTTTATCAAACTTGGTAAACATTTTTTAAGCATCAAAGTGGAATTTTCTGGTACAGGGGCTTAGACCAAATATTTTTGGGAAAAAATGTACGCAAACAGTCCCTCCAAAAATTAAAATTAAAATAATAACAGTTTTATTGCACGACGAATTAGCTAAAATTTTGTTATTGTTGTTTTGTATCGAAAATTAGTTTTTGACTATTTAAGGAATATAAAAAAAATCATCTCTCTTTTTCGTCTCCCATTTGTGGAGCGATTTTACATGATATTTTTGCCTATAAATATTTTTAAAAAAATTGCTGATTGAAGTAATGGGCACTTATTTAAAAAACATCCTATATATAAATATCTAGACACGTAAAAATTAATAGAACTGCTTGCTCACAACTCACAAAATCCAAAAACGGTTTCTTAAAGATAAAACGCGCAATCAGGACGCGAAAATTTCCCGTGAGTTGGGAGGATTAAATGCTACAAACATTTTTTTCTACAGCATTTTATAGAGCAACAATAGAACGGGTTAGAGAAAAATAACTTCAAATAATAAAATGTATTAAATATGTATTATTGTTATTAAAAATCAAAAAGCTAAGCAAAGCGTCCTTCAAAGATTATCAGAATTTACCATTAAAATTTAGGTTTAAATTAAATTTCATTAGTTTGCACTACTAAAGATTTAGATATAGAGATGCAACTATGAAAAAAATTTTAAAACATGGCAGCTGACAGTTCGTCAAAAAGTTTGGATTCGTCAATTCCGCGGCAGTATTTTTTCAAAATATGTCCAGTCATTAAATCTAAGATTTCATTTTCGTACTGAATCAGCCTGGTGCGTATGGCCAGAAAAATATCGAAAATGCCGTGCATAATATAAAATGTGCTTTTCTAATCCCAAACGGTATCGATCAGAATTATTTTTAAAAGGAGTTCTATTTACCCCTATCGGTTTCGTATACCTGCAAGAATTCCCTCGGGTGCATGGGGATCTGTAACGACCGATCCTCCGGGAAACCTAGATTTTAAGACGGCTCCGTCCGGCCCGAGGAGGATCGTCCTGCTCCCTGGTTCTTGCAGAATCTTCACGTGGGTGACAGCGTGACATTCGACAATGAACAAAATTGAAATGACGAATCCGACCTACGCAAACACCGAACATATCAAGCCATCTTCGGCTGTCAATACTTTACTCCCGAAAATTAAACGATTAAAGTGATGGAAGTTACTAAAAAGTAAAAATGGCAAAATTTGAATCACATACAAGCACAAAGAATGAAAAATTTTAGACATTTCTTTAGTGAAGAATTCTTGATAAAAGTAAATGTAGTCAATGAAAGATAAAACTTAAAATGACTAAATTAAAGGAGTATGAGTGTTTCCTCCATTTTTTTACACATTACCTTATTTATTATAAATAAAATAATAAGTAATAAATAAAATAAAACTAAAATGCAGCATTTTGACAGACTCGACAGAAATACTCAAAAATGATATTGTTTTATACATCTACATAAATCAGTTTTTTCTTCGATGAATGCCGAAGAGCATAACCGCATAGGAATTCCAGCAAGTTATATATCAATTCCAAGAATTTTCGCGAAGAATTCTATAGGAAGTCCATTAGAGTATGTAATCTTCCATATGCGGTTGACCTGACGGTAAATGATTTTTCTAATACTGAATATCTATATTCTTGTCATCGGAGTTTATGGTTTGCTGTAGACTATAGGCGGTTGCATAACTACATGTTTTTAAAAGTTGTGGATATTTACTTTTTAAAAAACTTCTGGATTCCTCCCGCGTCGGTTTTTGCTTAGTCGAAATTGTTCAGTTTCAATCAAGCTCTGAAGAAGCCAACAGGATGATTGGCGAAACGTCAGCAATTTCGACTAAGCAAAAACCGACGCAGGAGGAATCCAGAAGTTTTGTAAAAAGCATTACAGTAGCCTGTGGAAGTTTCTTTGAAAAATTGCGGATATTTGTTCGTTTTTGTGCATTTAATAATAAAAGTGGATGCCACTCCAAGAGGAAAATAAATGTGTCTGTACTAAATTTTTCAAATTTCAGTTAAGCAATTGCGAGCCCAAAAAACCTTAAAAATTACCGTTCCAACAATTTTCCTTTTTCAGTTTGCGCAAAGTCCGGGTTTAAAACTTTGATTTTTAGGAAGCGTTATCGATGCACGTGTTTTCCGGAAGTTATTCCGCTTTTCTTCACGCATGTTCGAACAAGTGTCGCGCACGGAACCAAAAAAAATCTCCCCCCCTTTCAGGGCTGACTGCATCCGCTTCACATTACGGTAATCGGTCGAAAAATGCATAGAGGGCGTAGTCAACACTCCGAACGCTTACCTTGCACCAGATCATTGCGCGGAATATTCACCACAGACCACTAATCTTCAATAATTATGCACCTACCGTTATATATATACATCTCGCTTCACAGGCTGGCTCGATGTGCCAAGCCTCCGCCTCTGACCCCTACAGGGTGTACGAATACGTAACATTTTATTAGATTTTTTTAATCAAAATTCAAACACCGAATCATTTTTTTTTAAACATAAAATATTTGCTTTATACGACCTCAAAGTTGGTTAAAGTGCAACAATCCAATCTTAACCAGAAACCTTCACTAGTTTGTAGATAATGACAGTTCTTCGTCACATTTTAATAAAAGCTGCAAGGTTAATAGTAGACTCTGGATCAGTAGTTTTGTAATGTAAAGTGAAAAGAGGCAGTTTTCAAACAAAAAAGATGGAATCGATTGATAAACAATTGATAGATATGGACACCATGTCGGTACGTTTTTCTGGTTGTGTATTGTTTTTCCTAACTGTAAAATTGCGCTATTTGCAAATTGCTACGAACTGACGGCACGCCAAAGGTTATTAAGTGGAGGCAGCATCGACTCTCGAGCGTCCGCACCTCTCACTGAGACGGCTGTTTGTGACCATTGACGTACAATTTGTAACTTATAACCCTGCATTTATTAATCCTTTGAACAAGTGGCAAGATCATTTCTAGGTTTGGGTACATTACATTGTACCACTGAAACCGTAAAGGTATTAACAAATTTCATTTAGTTTAATGTAATTTTAGAAATGCAGAAGGTGCCTTAGGAATTCACTTCGACGCAGTACGTACCTCTATGAAGGCGATCGAATATGTATGTAGAATTAGAAGATTTGAGTTCTGGGAGCAAACGAGTCGCTTAGATATTTATTTTGTTATATAATGTGGCACAAAAGCTTGGCATCAGTTATTTTTTCTTGCAAGCTTCAGTATGAAAGGATTCAATTTTGGAATACAAGTATAGAAGATGATTTTCCATTCGTTGGTTAGTTATATTAGTCAGATTGTCGGACCTACCCTTCATCAAATATGATTTTGATTTTTTCAGAGATTAACAAGTATTTTATATTTTTTCAGAAGATAGCCTCCACCTTTGTATAATAGAAGCCACCAATAAATGGTAAATAATAATATCTGTTTCAAAATAGCAGTAGGTGTTTGACCTTTGTTGGCACTTTTTGAAGAATTAAATGAATAGATTAAAAAAAATTACTGATAAGTAAAGGTAGAGGTTACCTTTGTCATAAATAAAAAATGTTATGCTTACAAGCTTTTGCTTGGACATGGCACTGTGGATAAAACAAAACGTGGATGGAAGAAAATTAATGTTGAAACACTATTAAAATGCTTGTGTTTTAAATTTTTGTTTCATTTTAACCATTTGAACTGTTTTACACCAGAACAGATGAATAATCACTACAAATATTTTCTGCTACAAAAATGCAACAAAAGCTTTGGAGGGACAATCAGGGGCGGACATTTCAGCGCAGCCCTGGAGCCGTGAGTCGAGAAAGCTTTGTCCACGATGCTGCAGATTTTAAATTACTTTTGTATCACCACAAGTACATTTTTATGTGATTGTCATGTTACTGTGAGAATTCTCTCACTTTATTTGTAAAATATGCTAGGGGTAGGGGCCCATAAATGTGTTACCCCAAGGTTTATTCGCAACTGACTGGAAGAAGCTGCACAGTCAATCCAGTCAGCTTGTAATCAGTTTCATTCCATGCTGCAGATTGTAAATTACTTTTGTATCACCACAAGTACATTTTTATGAGATTGTCATGTTACTGTGAGAATTCTCTCACTTTATTTGTAAAATATGCTAGGGTTAGGGGCCCATACATATGTTACCCCAAGGTTTATTCGCAACTGACTGCGACAAGTTGCACAGTCAATTCAGTCAGCTTATAATCAGTTTCATTCCCATCTTCAAGTCTAAACCCTGCCTATGGTGCTAAAAAGGGAATTTCCACTTATCTATAACTTGTCAATTTTATGATGAAGTTTAAGAAATGTTAAATGAGCAATACACCCTAAAAACATGAATTTTTGTTTTTAATCTATTCTATACAGAGTCGTCCATAATTAATGAGGCATAGCGTAAGTAATTGTGGATTCCATATGAAAAAAAAAGCGAAAAATACCTTAATAAAATGGTACTTGTATAAAAGGTCTTGCAGTTGTCAATATTGTTATTCACAAAATCTAGATAAATTTGATTTGGTGGACGTCAACTTTTACCTTAGCTGCTAACTGTAATAACTAAGGCACGGCTTGAATTTTGACGTTTGTCAATTCTGACGATCATATCAGTGAGTGTATTCGTGTTGTTTTGCAAAAATTAACCCAAAAATAATGGTCGTAGAAAAATTACAGTATGCAACACGTTTGGTAAACTTTTTAAATCACTCGTTTATTAAACACTCACTCCGCTGCGCTCCGCGCTGTAAAATACCTAATTATACACCGATCTAGAGTGCTGGAAGTGTCACTATACCACGTGAGTTTCTTGTCCCACGAATCCCAGTCACTTCGGAGATTTTCGGTTATGTCGGCTATGACGGTTATGTCAGTGAGAATATTCGTATTGTTTTGCAAAAACTAACGGTTGTAGAAAAGGTATAGTATGCAACACCTTTGGTTAACTTTATAAATCACTCGTTTATTAAACACTCGCTCCGTATGTGCCAAATAAACTCGTGACTCAAATGCCGTTGTTGGATAATATACAATTAACTGCACCGTAGACTGTCAAAATCGGGTTAAATCAATCGTACCACCTTATAAAAACCCTATCAAAAGTTTCCAAAGGGGAATCCACTTGTTTCGAACGAAAAAACAAGCGGAAAAACGGCGGGTAAGTTAGGGACCCTTTGCGTTTTATTCCATGACGAGGTTTTAAATGTCCGCCGGCGTCGGCGGCGCATTTAAATGGCCGGCGTTTCCGTGGGATTAACCGGAGTTGAAAACCGACACGCTTTGCTTTATCTCCGGCGCGGAAACAAACGGCTTTTTTCCACTTTTTACGTCTGTGTGCGGATATACGTCTGACGTACGAAAAAGTTGACCTGGCGTTGTCCTTGTAAAAGATTCGCGGCGAGCACGCGATTTATCAAATATTTTTTTAGGGATGCAACTGCGCCCGGGCTCAGCGGCGTGACAAATAAATTTTACTTATTAACTCTAATGGTCGTCTTGAAAATCATCTTCAATATGAGCTGTAAAACTTCCTTACTGCACTTATTCCTCTCCATTTGATTTTTGAATGTTTGGAGGAAATTTTTATATCCATCTGTTAAAACTAATACTCCAGCTTATTTTCGATTTCCAAATACTCTCGCTAACTTCGGTATGCCGAACCCCACGAGTTGTAGGTGAGAATCTTGACAATATAGAAGTTAATGATATGGGTGATATCTCAGATCGCTGTATAATCCTAAGCTGCAGAAAGACCGACATCGAACCCTTTTTGATGATGTAAACGTAAATGAAAGTTGATTTTCTTGCCAATATTCATTCTCCATTAAAAATAGTTGGCATTGAGAAACCATCAGCTGCTTGGTTAATCGAAAACCTTCAACTTTTAATAAAACTCAAAAATATAAGATATAAGCGTTTAAAGTCAGATATTGCTTGTGCTGTTCGAGAGCTGAGAAAAGGGATATTTGGCAAGCATATTTAAGTCTGGTCCTACAATTTTTTTGCGTACTTTGAGAGGACTTCATATCCTAATACACAATTTGATCCTAATTCATTTCGTTTTGCTAAATTGTTCCCGGAGAACGTTAATAAAAACTAACGCTTAGGACTCAGACAATATTGATATGAAAATCCTTTCTTTGTTAACAAGTGTCTTTTGTCTGGAGTTTTTCCCGACTCCTGAAAGCAAGCTGAAGTTTTGTCCGTTCCAAAGAAAGACTGGCCAAGTGTCATTAACGATTTTAGACCAATAACCCACCACAAAAGTTGTATAAATTCTTCTTCACAGCGCTATTTCTGCTTTGCTTCATGTTACTAATGATTTATTGAGAGCAACTGATTCTAAATTAAACTCTTGGCTCATAATCTTAGACTATAGAAAAGTGTTCGATACCTTGAACCACTCCCTTCTATAACGAAAGTGAAACACTTTGGGACGAAAGGTACAGCTCTTTCATTTTTTCAAAATTTTCTTTCTCAGAGACACCATAGAGTGGTTACAAGAAATACTAAGTCAAATTCAATTGCTTGGGAGAGGGGTGTTCCCCAGGGGAGTTTTCTAGGACCTATGATGTTCTCAGCTGACTTCTTTACCTTTCTTAAATTTGGTAGATCATATGCGGCTGACACTCAGTTATCTTTTGTTGCTAGTTTCGGAGGTGTCTGCGGCTTATGACCATGAATAGCATCAAAACTCAGATGTTATTATTTGAAATATGAGCAAAGAAATTGTAAGAAACACCTCTTTCAAGATTATGATGCTAAGAAAAAGAAGATTATCTCTCCTTCTTCGGACGGTTGTAAAAATTTTGAATTATGGTTTGACGGTGACTTGCGGTTTTTTAAACCCGTTGGATATTCATAAGCATTTTTTCAGTAGGGAGGTCAGTCATGTCGCTTATTGTAGTATCATCTAACTAAATCGAGATACGGAGAGACCCCAACGATATCAGAATGCTAGTATTCGTTTTAGTTACAATCTCTGAAAGTATGACCATATTTCCCGGTGCCACTCTGATTCGAGTAGGATCAAGCGGAGGTTCGTTATAGAGTCTAGGTGGTCACCTTTGTTTTTTTTTTTTTTGCTAAGCTCTAACGAGACTCCCGTCACACTTGAGACACCCGCCATTGTCTTCCTAGACACACGTCGGTAACTTTCTAGAGATCTTTTAGCTATAATGCATTAAAAATATTTAACGAATTACTTTATGCTATAGCGTCCCTCCCCTCTAAATAATTTGTGCGTATTTCCTTTGCTATTTTCTTTATTTACTCTGTTTTCTCGGTTGTTATGTTACATAGAAGAGCGTGATTTGCGCATGTGGCCACTCTTGTATTGTAATATCTTAGTTATTAATAAGCACAGTTTATTATTACTATTATTAAA